TGCCTTAGCTCTTGGCGGCTATCTAAAGCCCAAATGGAGCCTGAATGAAGTGATATTATCTAAAGCTCTCGACTCACCTGAACCTCCTCGCCGGGTCCCAGTCTCGGCTGCCTCGGAGTCGGTTGGTAGCGAAGGTTGCCTTCAAAGTCGTGCCAAGTGTTCTTCTGCTCGGCAAATCGTTTAGCGTTTTCCGCGGCCTTCTCCGTTCTCACCCGAGCCGGTGTCAACGCTACATCATCCCAGCACTCGTCAGCCTCATTCTCCCAGTCCTTCCAGCACCAGGGCTTACTTTCAGGTCTGGACTTACCCTGGTCGGAGATGGGCTCGAATCCCGCCAGGGTAGCCATAGACCTGTTCGGCTGGTTACGACGTGCTATGGAGAGCGCTTTTGCCAGGCGAACACGTGGTTTGGGTTGCGGCTCACGATAGTCCGCAAGATGGGCAAACCAGACGCCTGGCTGGCCACGATTTTTGGCCATATTCTCGCGAGCTGCCGTTGAGGGGTTCGTGAACAACATCTCGCCTACGGAAAGACGAGGCTGACGGGGCAACCTACCGTTTACACTATTCCACTAAGCTTACAATCGACTTTGTAAGGCCTAGTTTCCGTTGCTTAGCCAACGGATTGTTGATTGGCTAGTTTCGCCTGAGTGGTTGCCTGGCAACAGAGTACATTTTCAGATCTTTAATAGTAGATGTATGATAGGCTTTGTCTGGGGTTTACAAGTTCGATTAATTCTAAGAAAAGCCAAAATTGGATAAGACATCTCTAGTGAGCTCATTGTAGCTGGTGCAAGAGTTCGAGGACAAGAAAAGAATAGTTTTGCTTTAAACTAAACCAGAATTATTACTAATTAAATGAGCTTCGGCTACGCCCAGGGAAAGAAAATAACAATGAGGTCAATACGCTATCAATTAACGACATGTCTTGACCTGATGATGCAAATGTGTCAACGAGATGAAAGTTAATTATAACGATGATTAAGTAAGTCAGCAACGCGTTGTTTTGTAGGCGTTCATCTCCAATATTTATGTAGCTACCTTTACAAGTTTCCTTTGGTATGATGATCGAATATTGTGGGCGGCTTCATGGTTCAATGCCTGATAACTTAGCTTATTCACAATCAATTAGAGAAGTCAGTCGACCGGTTTAGACACGGATCCGACCTTGAATCGCAAAAGTTTTGTCTATTCGACCTTGTCTTGGTAGCCCTGGAATATAATGGGGCTTCAAAGATGTTCTATGCGTGACATGGAGCGGAAAGATTTAGCACCCGATCCAAAAGTTGTCTCACGAAAGCTCTACAGGGTACGAATAATATACAAGATGGGATAGGTCCTCTTTAAACTTAAATGTGTAGTAAGAATGTAAGAAAATGAATATGCAATTTTAAATAGTCTTCACAACATTTCTGAAACCGGAATACGGAACTCAATACATAGTAACACTTTGCACTAGTTTTATTTGATTATTTTAATGTCTGCAATAGGTCACTTGCTGACGTATCTATTTTTAGTATTCGATCACCTCTGGCGTCCTCTATTTTACGCTATTGGTGGTAAGAGAAGCAATGTACGTTGTTTTCGTTATGATCTACGTATAGATCTTTATTCTCCATTTGTAATATATTATTAGGGAGGCATATAAAGCCGAAGCATAGGCCTGACTTCAGCAAAAGACTAGTTTTAAAATCTCTTTGCAAATACATCAGGCTGAAAGCGTCACTACAAGCGGACCAATTTATTTGGATAAAAAAAATTGGGGTAGAGTCAATCATTCTTATGCCCTTAACTGGCCTTGGAATGAAAAAGCTGTTTGTACGAGTAAAAAATCTTAATTGATGATTTGCATCCATTTATAATGTGACACTTTTCGAGTCAATTTGACGAGTGAAAGTCATTATTTAGTCTTCAAGATAACAGCCTTGGCTGCGGGTCGCCATGCTCGTCAAGATCGTGGAATAATTTCCCCCTGTCGCTATAGCAACGCAAAACAGGGAGACGCTCTTGTTTTTCAATGTATTAGATACCCATATTTAATCTCCTCCCGCTCACGTTGCGTTTAAATATGCCAAGTTCCTTAGTGCCGGTTTACTTGAGTTTTAATCGCCCTAGGTCACATCAGGAGTGATAATCGAATTTTCCCCACATTGCTATTCGTAGCCGTTAGGTTTACATTAAATTTCACCTAAAGGTATTTTCATTCGGGGCGGACTGTCAGCACCTCCGACGGGAATCGAAATCGGGTAGTGCAGCGTATACAATCAACGCCACACTGCCACATGTTCCAGTCTCACGACTGCTCCGTGACTCACTGACATCGTGGTAGCGTGAGGCAGTGATACCATGGCTAAAGGATGCACTAAGCTACCCGAAAACTACTGTCTTTCTTGGTTGAGAACACCTTTTTGGAGGCAGAGCCAAGAAAAATGCAGGAGCTTCGAGAGCTCAATTCATATTATTGTTGGAAAATTCAATTAGCAGTCAATTACCTTGTACGACCTAAAGTGACATGACCGGAGATTAGCATCAGTCCTGTACCAAAACGGGAAGTAGAAACACTACCCATTTT